GCAGACTATTGTCTTAAAAGCCACTGTTTCCATGGCAAAACCCAGGTCTCTGAGAGCAATCAGTATTTCATATAAAAGCAGCAGCAGCCTGGTCAGGAAGATGAAGAACCAAAGCTTGCAGGCAGGGAGGCATTCCTAGCATGTCCCAAACAAGAGGACCAGGAGTGGCTGACAACAGAGAGGAGGCTTCCCTCTAAGAAAAGCAAGAGCGGACCAGCTGATTGGAGGAGAGACTTGGCAGGAAGTAGCTTCACACCCAATGAAGAGAGTCCCTAGGAGGTGTTTCGCATCCTGTTCCCTCCATGAGACAGTGGGCACACCCTGTGGCCCAAGGCTAGGGACAAAGCAGTGATAGACTTCATGGTCTTGCAGTGAGCAGAAATCAGACACATACAGCAATGTGACCATGCGTAGGCGGTGTTCAGACAAGCGACACCTCAGTAGAGACTGGGGGATCGAGGACAGCATAGTCTTTGCACCATACACACATCACAGCAATGCCATTTGTAAATCACCCCCAGGAAAAAGGGAAGGAGGAGTCAGAGGTGAGTACTCACGGGAGCCTGAGTATTAAGCAAGAAGGAACGGAGTTTGTTTGGGGGCTCATGAGACAAAATGAGTACAGTCATTGAGAAAAGGACAATTACATTTATAGTCCCATGATGAATGATGGAAATTTTAAATCCACAACACAACCCTATTGACATATGTCATTCCAAGCCTTTCTGTGCGTTTATACCAAGACAGGTATAGCTGATTTATTAAATATAGGAACATCACCACACGCTGCTGTGCAACTTGCAGAGTTCCTTGAACAATATCCTTTCCAGGGCAATACATAAAGATATCTACCATCATTGTTAAATACCATATGACATTTTTTTCTAGATACAAACTCTCTCCTTTTTAGAGGCTACTATTGGGCCTGGAGTGTGGCTTAGTACATACAGTGTATGTTCGAGGCCAGCCTGTATTATATAGGTGAGTTCAAGGTCAGCCTGCACTACATCGTGAGACCTCGTCTCAAAAAAAAAAGCAGGACAACAGTCTGCTGTAGGTTTATAAAAGGCTACTTAAAAATTTAAGTACAGAGGCCAAGGATTTTGTTCCATCCTTAGGCCAAGAGTAGGATACACAGTGCCTAGTGTGTGTACAAAGTCCTGGGTTTGATGCCCAGCACCACAAAACCCAACAATCATCAACAATGTTGTGAAGAATAAAAATCCTTGCAGGCCTAGTGTGGTGGTACACACCTGTAATCCCAGCACTCAGGAGGCTGAGGCAGGAGGATCATTGCGAGTTTGAGACCAGCCTGTAAATGATATTTGTTTCACAGCTAAAGAAATGAAAATAACAATAACCATAATAGGTCACTTTTCATATATGCATTAGCAAAGATATGAAAGATTGCTGCTACTCAGGGTTGGTGGGAATGGAAAAGGCACTTGTATACTATAAGGATAGAAACTGGTTCCTAGACAGAGGACCAACTTGGTAACAGGTAATAATAAAGGTACACAAAAAGTACTGTGTACATCTTGTCCCCAAAATTTCATATCTTGGAATTCATTCTAAGGAGATAATCAAGACTAAATAGAGATGTAACGGCAAGGATTTTCTGTTTGTTTGTCTTTTTGAGACAGGGTCTCACTATACAGTTCAGGCTGGGCTCGAGCTCACTTAGTAGCATAGGTGGGTCTCAAACTCGCAACGATCCTCCTGCCTCAGCCTCCCGAGTGCTGGGATTACAGGTGTGTGCCACATCTGTTTCTTTTTGATTTCTGGGTTTGAGGTCATGCTTGGAAAGCATGAACTTCCTCATCTGTGGCTGAGAGTGGCCCGAGTCTGCGGTCTCGAAGAGAGAGAGCATGCTGGGATTGTGGCTATGGGCACACTCCGCCAGCCACGGAGGAAGCAAGCCATGCGCACCTAAAGAACCTTAAGCTCTTAAGTGGCAGTATGTACTGCCATCATCTTGGGAGAGCACAAACACAAAATTATGCAAAAGGATGACACAAGCCAAACTTGATGGTGTTAATCCCTCTCTAGGAGGTTAAGGCAGGAGGATCACAAGTTCCTGGGAAACTTAGTGAGATACTATTTAAAAAAAAAAAAAAATCTGGGGATGCAACTCAGTACAAATGCCCTGGGTGTTTAGTAGCCTCCACTGTCCACCCCCCAAAAAAGGGTAACACAGAAAACAAGGACAGCGCTAACGCATTTAATCAGCAAGTGCGATTGACGCCCAAGCGTCTCCCTCGGACTGGCCGCAGAACCAACAGCTCCCGTCCTTTGGAACTAGACAAAGGCTCTAGTTAGGAAAATGCATTAACCAAGCAAGCAAAGGGGAAAAGGAAATTCCCCAGGGGATGTAGAGCCACACGCGGTATAAGCGGGTCTGAGAGGTCACGGAGAAGGGAGGCAAAGGGAGGGAAAGAGCACCCTGTTCACGACAACAGCCGTGCCCAGTCGATGAGCCCGGGCTTCCGTCCCTGCCGCTCACCTCAGGGCGTTTCGTGTCTTGTGGCACAGCCCAGCAACATACAGAAGGTTGCAAGCCTGGGATCAAGAACCATCGCCAGCTTCCGAGGAAATGAGACCAGCAGCTAAGCCTCAATCTTCAGCCTAAGAGCCAAGGGAAGGTCTTTCTAAGTGGGAAGGCCAGGTGTGCTTAGATTTGTTTTAAAAGATTAGTTCAGGCTAAAAGCGGGCATGAACTAGGGATAGGAGGAAGGAGCGCAGGGAGACCCGTCCTGCTGCGAACAGAAGCTCCAGTAGCGTGGACTGAAATGATAATGGCAGACGGCCCATGCAGACGGCTCGGATTCTTTGACATCCACGCCTGTCCCTCCAGCCGTCCCTGTCTCCTGGGGTGTTCAGCTCACCGAGGAAGAGAAGACTCTGGTTAACAGGTGGGTGCTATGGCTTCTATCTAGATGTTCCCCTGAGGCCTCCAGGGTTCACCGGTGTAACCTTAGGGAGGAGACGGATAGGGTGCGGCTGTCCTGCCATCAGGAGGCGGGGCCTGGTTGGAAGACGCGGGTCACTGCGGAAGGTTCTCCCTTTCCACCTCCTCTGACTCTGCTTCCTGGCTGCCACGCAGTGAGCTACCATTCCTCTGCCACGCCCCTGCGCCACGCCATTCTGTCTCAGAGCCCTGACTATGCACTGAAACCTCACACACCGTGAGCCAAAATAAACCTTTCCCCCTTCAATTGCTTATCGGGTATTGTGCCCCAGTGACAAGAAAGTGAGGAAGACAATTGGCTTTTGCAACATGCTAGTACAACCCACAAGCGCACAGCTGTAGCACTTCATCCCCACTCACAACGTCTGAGTGGCCAGGCGTGGTGGCACAAGCCTGTTATCCCAGCACTCAGGAGGCTGAGGCACGATTGCTGCCCATGAGTTCAAGGCCAGGCCGAACTACACAGCAAGACCCTGTCCCAAAACCTAACAAAGAATAATTAATTCTGACGAATAGTAATATCCTCCCAGGATTTGAGATGCTTGATTATACATGGTACTTGAAGAGTGAGAGACGGCCAGAAATGTGGATTTAGACTAATTCGTGCCCAGTGCCCCGTAGTTTGGCTAAGTAATCAAGGATTCAAATGGAACTGAACCCTAAGTTGGGTGAAAAGGAAGTATGAGGAAGACGCACATGGATGAACCTGAGTGTATGTCATGAAGATGTTCGTGTGCCCCATGAATGCCCACCGAAAGGCGCCCAAAAGGCAGAGAACACCCTTAATAACCAGTGAACACAATGACACACTCTGCCTTGGCGCTTACCCAATGAGCCCACAAGCCACGGTGGCAGGGATTAACACTGCGTCGCCGTTCTCACGGGGCTCAGCCAGCTGCAGTGAGGATGATTACACCTGCCATCACGGAAGGGGCAGAGATTCTGCGCAGGAACACATTCTGAATGTGGACCTGCCTTTTCTGCCTGTTTATTTTTGAAACTCATCTTCCCATTTTTTTCATCCAAGTTGTTGCAAGTTAGCTGTACAGTTTAGTCACCAAGTAACAGAAAATTCAGTAGAACAGAGGATTTTAGGCATAACCAATGCAGACAGTAACAGACAGAATGACTCTTGGGACTGCATCTCATTTGAGGAGAGCGAAACTTGTTCACACCTATGGAGGGTGAGTGTGAGGCAGAAACATGGAACTATCGTCTTTGCTGTTGAATGGGAGTTTAAAGATATGCAGAAGAGCGTGCATGAAGGTACATATCCAAAGGGATGGACTGTGCCAACTTTCAATTCACTTCTTCCAGGAAAATGGGTCTATGCCTTTAGATTCTTTTTTTTGGGGGGTGGGGTGGGGTTTGAGATAGGGTCTAGCTATGCAGTTCAGGCTGGACTTGAACTCACTTTGTAGCCCAGGCTGCTCTCGAACTTGCAACGACCCTCCTGCCTCAGCCTCCTGAATGCTGGGATTACAGGTGTGCGCCACCACACCCAGCTCCAAAAATGACAATTTTTTTTTTTTGTTGGTCTTTTTGTAGATTCTTTCTTGCCAGCTGGAAGCAGAGCTGTCAGAAGGCACTGAAGCAATACTACAGAAGGGTTTTGCTTCCTAGCTCTGACATGCTCACCTGAAAGCAGCATGCGCAGCTGTCCCCAGCATCAGGTTCCCGCGGTGCTCGCAGACTGGCCAGAGCCTGGATCCTACAGCACACTCTCCACCCCACCCCACCCCCAGCCCCGTGACAGTTCTGCGGCAGAGCACCTCCAGCAGTACCCCTCTTGTGAGTAAGCTTTTCTCAAAGCATGAGAAAGTGGAATCCTTGGGGGACAGAGGGGATGTTGAGCATGGAACAAACCAGGGCCTCATGTATGCCAAGCCCGTGCTCTACCTCTGAGTCACATCCCCTGCCCAAAGCAGATTTGTAAGAAGTTCCAGAGGGCCGATCTTCAGAAAGACCTGGGCCTCCACCTTGGACAACCTATAGCAGACCTAGAGTAGAGGCTACTTTTTTTGCGGGGGGTACCAAGAATCGAACTCAGAGCCTCACGTTTGCCAGGCATGCGCTGTGCCACTGAACCACATCTCCGGCCTGCGGCTCCTCCTTAAATTTGTTACTCCTACATGCTTTAGGGTTCAGTACACCTACTTCTACCCAATCCCTCATTACTCCAGACCCCTGCTGTAGTTAATATTTAAACTTTCCTCACTGATCATGGTGGGGCACACCTGTAATCCCAGCACTCAGGAGGCTGAGGCAGGATCACCGCAAGTTCAAGGCCAGCCTGGACTGCATACTGCATAGTGAGACAGGCCAGCCTGACTCGAAAAAACCAATTTTCCTTAATCAGGTTATTACACGGTTTCTCTCCTGACTAGGTTCAGACTGACTGGACCTACACTATGCCAGCACAAGCTTAGACTAGATAGTAGCAGAGAAAGGTAGGTGGGTAGATTGTTCATACTACAGAAAAACAGATGGGATGTTGTTATGGTTTGTGTCTAGAAGTCCCCCCAAAGCCTCATGAGGTTATAGGAGTGGCTTTTTGGAGGTTGCTAAATCTACAGTTCATTACTGGTTCACTGTCTAGTGCTGGGACTGGCTGTGTGAGTGCTACACCTGCCTTAGGGCGGGTAGCCTGCCTATAAGGGAGGAAAAGAGGCTGTTCCTCCTTTTTTGCCCCTTTTGCCCCTGTTGCTGTCTGCTTCCACCATGAATGGTTGCCGCTCGCCAGGGCTTCCCTGCCTCGGAGCCAGCTGGTTACAGACTGAAACCTCCACAAACTGTGAGCTAAATAAACCTTTCCTTCCATAATTCTGGGCGCCAGGTAAATTGTCTCAGCAATGAGAAAAGTAACTGAGATAGAATTTGGTACCAGAGAAGTAGGGTTGTTGCTGGGACTATACCTGACCATGTTGTTCAAGAGCCTTTGGGAATGACTTGTGGGAAGTTTGGAAAAGTTCCGAGATGTCGCCTGAAAGAGTAGAGCTGGAACACATTCGCTGTTCTGTACGGGAGATTCTGGTCAGAGCTCAGAAGACCAGAAGGCTGACGGAAATCCTGCTTGTAAAGACCAGGTTCAGGTTTCTGCTGGGAAGAAGGACTGCACTGGTTGTTGGCGTCCAGACAACGTGTATTACGGCTTGGCAGACAGTTTGTCTACATTTTGCTCATGTCCAGAGATTTTGCCTGAGACTAATATTAAGGGCAGCAGACTAATTCACCTGGCAGAAGAAATTTCAAGACAGTCTAACATTGAGGTGGTGGCATGGCTATCGTTGGGGGCTTTTAGCCAGATCTGTTGAGAATCAAGAGCAAAGAGCCCAGCACAATGATTTAAAATGCTGTGAGTTTGGCCAGAAGAGAAGCTCTAGGATAGCTGTGGACTACAAAGATAGAACAGAGATCTTGACTGTTGAGAAGGAACTAGAAATAGAAAAGATGGCCTGAGGGCATCACAAGAAGCAGAAAGACTCCACCCTTTACAGCACCAAAACTACAAAGGTGAAAGATTTTGCGCTGAAAAGCAAGCCACACAGAACCACGTTCCAAAACGGCAACAGCCACACTAAATTCCAGAATGGCGGCAGTGTAGATTTGTTCCTCAGAATTAGATTCAGAGTACTCAGTGATCCAGGCACTCAACCCTACAGCCAAGAGAGAGGGAACTACTGCTCCAGCTAGCAGCAGACCTTGAATCATCTACGTTGTTGTGGTTTGTGTCTAGATGTCCCCCCAAAGCCTCAGGCAGTCACAGCGTGGCTTCTAGAATTTGTGACTGATTAATGGTCCCATGCTGGGATTATGGGTGTGAGTGCCGCACCTGCTCTGGGACGGGTAGCTTGCATACAGCAGAAGGGAGGGAAAGAGGCTTGCTCCTCCATTTGCCCCTTTTGCTCTTGTTGCTTTTGGCATCTTCCACCACTACGAATGGTTGCCCCTCGCCATACCACTCTGCCTTGGCCAGCTGATTACAGACTGCAATCTCCAAACTGTGAGCTAAATAAACCTTTCCTGCCTTCATTCTGGGCGTCAGGTATTTTGCCTCAGCAACAAGAAAAGTAACGAAGAAAGATGTGGTAATAGAATAGATAAAGAAGGTGGAGAGGGTATAAAGGATTACTCCTGGATGAAATTCCAACTTAGTAACTAGATGGATGGTGGACTCTTTCACAGAGAACAGTGCAGGGTTAGGTTTGTTTGAGTCATCTCCCTAACAGTAAGAATCAAAGCCACCGGCATACTTTTGGGGAAGAAACAGTGAGAAGAGATGACAGAGAACTAAGTCTTACGGAATCCCAACTTTTAGTGCTTTTAGTAGCTGAACGTACTGAAGCCCCAAAAGGTCAAGGAAAGGAAGGGCAGTGTCGTATCCAAGAAGTAAAAGTTCCAGACAGATGTGCACAGTGTCAAGAAAACCTGCTATAGGGGCTCACTGCTTCCAGCTGCTGTCACCAGGCTTTCCGCATCACTGGGCCTGCCACCAGACTCACACCAAGGTCACACTTCCTCCAGAGCGCCAGAGGTCAATGACTGAGCTCGACTGAAGCCACTTCCGCCCAATTCTCCCGACAGGCACCCTTCAGTCCGGGGCTCCCCTTCCTCCTCCCCACTTGCAGGGCCGCGCTGCAGCCGGAGACCACCCACCTCCAGCCTTCTGGTTAAGCGCGACAGTAATTTGTGACTTCTAGTCAGTATTCTGTTAGAGACAAATGTACCCCAACTGTCACACCACCCACACACTGACAAGGAGAGGCAAGGAAGATGCCCACCAGATGACGGACTGCACGCTAGACAGTTCGTGAAGGTCAAAAAGGAAAATAAATCTTCCCCTTGGCCAGCAGTCTAAGCGAAGAACATAAAACAAGAGACTGGTTTAAGAACAGGAGAATGTTTAATCCATTTCAAAAAACACATCAAGAAATGAAAGGAAAGAGAAAATCATCTTCCTACAATAGACGACTTACGTCACTGTCTTCACACTCTTATTCCCAGAACCCCAAGGCTTGATGTCTGTAAGACGCTGTCTGCCCTTGAGATACGCCAGTCTACACAGAAATAAATTACGGCCGTCTGGAAAAAGTTTTGCGTGCTGAAGCTAAAAGGGAGACAGACAGGAAGGAGAAAGGGACGTCGATGTACAATAACCTGATCGAAAAACAGGGACAGCACAGGGCCATCCCAGGCAGATGGGCCCCTCTAGTGCTCTGGTGTCGGCAGAACCCACAAAAACAGGGCTGAGCCAGGCAATCTGCAGTCAGGCTGTGCTCAGCGACAGCTTCAGTATTCTTACTGCGCCCTGCCGAAGCCCTGGATGCCTCCTTCAAGCCCCCTGCTGGTTGACTTCATCGTTATCCCTCCTTTTCCAAATCTGTTAGAAATGAAAACAACAGACATTAACGATTTATAACCTTGCGGACTATTCCCTCCCATTCTATTTCCACCCACCTTCTCCTTTCCTTAGGTCTCATTCTAAAAAAGCAAACATGTGGGCCTGGGGGTGTAGCTCAGTAGTAGAGCACATGTTTAGGACGCATGAGATCCTGGGTATGACCCTCAGCACCAGAAAAATAAAAAACAGAGAAGGTACACTGCCAAGTCTACACCCTTACAAGAGGCCACCGAGGAGAGAAACCGTTACCCTGGGAGGACAGGCAGCTCTTCTCCATGACAAACTATTGCTCTCTTAGCCCCGGGCTTCCTTCTTCCATCAGGCATGGGAGCAGTTACAGAAGAAGGCTCTGCTATCCAGGCTGCGATTCAAGGGAGAAAACGGCCAAGCTACCATGGACGGTGCTCCAAGGGCGACATGGACAAAGTGCTGGGGCCCCGGGAAGCACTCGGGAGCCAACTCCCAGCCGTGCTCCCTGGTGGGCCAGGCTCTTCCTGCTGGAAGCTAGAACACACAGCTCTATAAAACTGCCCAAACTTACACACAACCTTCTTCGCTCCCTCACAGACTATCAGGCCTACCTACTCTTTTCTTCCCTGAAAATCTGACTGACTTTTAGGGCTACATCATCTGCCCCATCTCACTCTTTAGCATCTTCCACCAAGCACCTGGGCCTCCAGCCAAGACTCTAACTCAATCCCGCACCCACCTGAATGTAAGCCTCCGACAGCGTGATCATCTGGGGCAGGATGTCCGTCACCTGGAGGTCTTGTAATTCGTACCATTTGCCAGTGCCCTGGAGGAAGTATGAAGGGCTGGGTTAGTCTGCTCCCTAAAACCGAAAGGGTACAGAAAGAAGGGATCGCAGCCAAAACAGCCACTAGCCAACGAGAGTCCCAGGGAGAAGGAGGCACGGCCTCAGCATGATTCAGTCAGCGGAGCTCTGGGTGTGTCTACTGTGGCAGCCTCAAGTCCTGTCAAGGAGTCCTTGAAATGCAGTGCAGTCTCAAATACCTCGGCATAACTTTTACGCAACAGGAGAAAGAAAAGCTCTCTAATCCTCACCTAATGTGTCACCTTCCTACCCAGAAATGATAGGCTGGAACACTCAGGAGCTGGGGCCTAGGAAAATATAAGAGACTCTCCCCCATACACACACCTTCCCCCCAGAACACAGCACCAACAGGCAAGAAAAAGTGCCACGGTAGACACTGTCCACTGTAATAACCCGTGTCCTGTGGCCCGCAAAGCCAGCAACCCGGATAGAGCCAAACTACCTCACTACATGCTTCTGTCAACAAGGGGAGAAAGGGAGGCTGAGGCAGGAGGATCGCTGCGAGTTCGAGACCAGCCTGGGCTACAAAATGAGCTCAAGGCCAGCCTGAACTGCACAGCGAGACTCTGTCTCAAAAAAGATGAAAAAAAAAAAAACAAGGGGAGAAAGAGGGCTCTGGATTGAGACACTTCTGCTGACCCACAGGCCTCACTCATGCAAACTCCTAACAAATGGCAGGGACTGGTGTTTCAGAATATAGATTCCAATATTCCAAGAATCCCAAATACAGGACACATCAGGAAAGCTCAGGCTGGGTGTGGTGGTGTATAATCCCGGCTACGGTAGGAGGCTCAAGCAGGATTAAAAATTCATGGCTAGCCTGCACTTAGCAAGACCTTGTCTCAAAATAAAAAATAAAAAGGGCTGGGGGTACAGCTCAATAGTAGAGTCCCCCTGGGTTTGATCCCCAGGACTGAGGGAAAAAAAAAAAAAAAAAGAAAGAAAGAAAGAAAAACTCGGGATCACAGGAAAAGCCCCATTTCTGGTCTGAGGAGGACAAGTACCTAGGTTCAAATCCTAATTCTACGGACTTCGATAAATTACTCAACCTGTGGGCCTAGGTTTCTCACCTATAAAAAAGACAATATACCTGCCTTAGGGGCTGGGGATTTAGCTCAGCGGCACAGTGCCTGCCTGGCAAGCGCAAGGTTGTGAGCTCGATTCCTAGTACCGGAAAAAAAACAAAAAAACAAAAAACAAAAAATACCTGCCTTAGAGGTGTGTGGCGGGGGGGGGGTTGGTTAAAAAATATCTTAATTAGATAATGTAAAGGCTCAACATGAACACTTTATGTTCAAATTCAGATTTGTAATAAACATGTAAAGATCCTCTATATAAAAGCTGCATTTAGTCATTTGTACTAGGAGTGGAGAATGGTAACTTAAAACTGTAATTTGGAAACCAAGAAAATTCCAAAATATTTGGTTCAAAGTTAATTGTATTCAATTCAAACCAGTGTTTAAATTTACAAATTTTATCAATCTTTGGTATTTTAAAATTATTTACATAATATTACCGGCTTTATTAATAAATGCTACTTTCAGCATACAGGTGCAGACCATACATTAGCTATTAATAAACTGTAAGTGAAGTATGGTGCTCACTGAAGTGCTAAGTTGGTTGGTCAGTGGGCTCTTTTCCGTTATTCCTCTTCTGCCATTTCCTATTGGTGAGTGGTATCCTGTGCTGCTTGCTGCATTTTCTCTAGTTTTTCCAGAGTCAGAGATTTTAAGGGTGAAAGCTTGGGTTTACAAAGCAGCACTGTGGTTACATTCCCACTGACACCTGCCCTTGTTATGGAAGAACCTCCTGGAACACTGACTTCACATCTGCCATGTTGTCAATACCGTCAGTTTTCCTGAAAGTTCTGCTTTTTTTTTTTTTTTTCCCGGTACCGGGAATCGAACTCACGAGGTCACGGTCGCCGGGCAGGTGCTGTGCCGCTGAGCTAAATCCCCAGGCCCAAGTTCTGCTTTTCCTTTCTTTTTTTTTTGCAGCTTTAGACACCCAACCTGGTATTATCAAGATGACTGAAAATTCTTGACTTAAGCCTACAGAAAGAACCCACGCTGCAGCTCCAATTGAGAACAGGTTCCATCTGGGGTGAGGGTGGCAGAGACTATTTCTATCCCTCTGCAGGACCCTACTCCGAAGTGCCAAATGCAACTTCCACAGAGGAGAGGGATTTTTGGAACCCTAAACTGTTGTGCACCTTGGTCAGTGACAGGTCTTCTCAGCAAAATAAGGGCCAGGACCTGTAGCCCTGAGTCTGAATTAACCTGCCCTATATGGAATGTCTGGTCACGTCTTGTCCTCCTTGGCCTAGGTACAGATGTGTCGCTTCCCAGTCGACTTAGCTGTTGCCCGTGACTTGTTTTTTGAGAGGGTCTCAGTACGCAGTCCAGGATGGCCTTGAACTTGTGGGGATCCTCCTGCCTTAGCTTCCCTGTGCTGGGATTACAGGCGCACACCACCACACTGAGGTGGAGATGCGTTTTAAGGATAAAAGGAGACAGTATACAGTAAGCACTTGGCATACTTCCTAGCCCACTGAAAAACACCTGATAAACAATGCTAGCTATTATTAAGACCACAGTCCCAGATGAGATTAATCAAAATAGAGCAATCTGTCCTAAAAACCTGTGATACCAAATATATCCCAAGTACATGTTTTCTGTTTTCAACTCAAGACAAATTCACAAAATGTTTGAGCTCTACACCAGTACTTCACAAACTACTTCCAGAGAAGTCAGAGGGTCTTCTTGAAACACACATTGTGAATCTGTAGGCGCAGGGGCGGCCGCGAGTCTGCAGTTCTAACGGCACTCAGATGCTACTGATGCTGCAAGGCCAAGGACTCCGAGCTCTTAGCCAGGACCGAAGTTCTCACGCAGACCTCCTGGGGAACTTCAAAGCACCAGACAAATCTAAATCCCTCCAGACAACCTGCTGTAGAGCAGTACCTAAACCTTGACTATTTGGGCCAGATCTGCAGCAGCATGCCTGGCCTCTGCCTGAGCTGAGAACTGCATTCCAATGTAACTGTCCTACAGTGTAACCCAGGCAGCCAGACTTTGCGAAGTTCCCAAGCGTCCAATGCACAGCCAAAGCTGAGAACCACTGCCCTCAACTAACCAGCGGCAGCTCAATTCTTCCCAGTCCTGAGGCCAGGCCAAGGAAGGACAAACTGAAGGGGCTGCCTTCTGAAACACCAAAGGACACCACCACTCTGTGCCCCCAGCCAGCGGGCGGCCACTCACGTGATGCAGCACGTGGATGCGGTAGGAGCCCTCGGAGGGCTTGCCGTCGTGCACGATGTTGGCGATGAGGTCATAGGTGGTGTTCTTGTGGACTGCTTGCACTTCTTCAGACAAGTATTCTCTCAGATCCACGTTTCTGGAGACAATGAAAACAAAGCCAGAAATCAGACCAAGGCGGTGAAGTTAGGAGGCTTTACACACACAGAGCACAAAGCTGCTCACCCACCACGCTTCAGAGCCTCAGGCTGTGAGTGACACACGTGCACAATGGGGCACAGTTCGTATGTCTCGCCGCTGGGCAGCTTGAATCACCTTCCACTGGGACTTAGAAACATCAGACTTACCTTTTTTTTTTTTTGATATTTGGGATAGGGTCTCACTGTGTAGTTCAGGCCTTGAACTCCTGTCGATCCTTTTGCCTCAGCCTCCCGAGCACTGGGATTACAGGCAGGCACCCCCAAGCCCATCTAGAGTTCCTTTTACTATCTGAACACTCACTTTCAAAAGTGAAAAAGCATCCTTGATATACCTAAAATAAAATCTAATCCTGTGTTTTATGTGTTGAAATGTATCCATCAGCTGAAGTATGATTTAACAGCAGTCATTGCAAAGTTTTGTAACAACGTTTATTATGAAGGTTATACAGTTATTAAGAACTTTCAAGATAAACAGGGAAATAGGTGAGTAGTTAAGAGAACGTGTTAAATATATAATCTTAGGAAAGACATATCATTTTGGAACCCACAAAACAATTATAAAAACATAAATAATACAAAATAGAGAAGAGACTCATCATATTTCTCATCTCTGTAAACTGTCCGATGTGTTCTCACATGTAACGTGAGCCACAACGACGTCATGTCTAGAACGACTCACAAAGAACAGCTAATGGTGGTCATACCCCTTATACAGCTGTTTGAATTTGGAATACATGAATGTACTCAGTATTCAAAAATAGAGTGTTAAAGTTAAGCTGTGTAGTAATAAACAGATATGCACCTTTGTTCTAATTGTTTTATGGATCTAGGTGTTAGAGATGGCTATTTGTTTCTTCTGACTCACAGCATCCCATGTACAATGCAGTCAGACTGCAGTAAGCATTCATTATGAAAGACAACTTGGTTGAGTCCTAAGAAATCCACACAAACCAGCAAGGTAACATACACCCACAGTCCCAATTCTACAGGAGACTGGGGCAGGAGGATTGTAAGTTTGAGTCCAGTCTCAAAATAAAAAATAGAAAGGGCTGAGGCTGTAGCTCAGTGTGAAGGCTCTGGATTCAATTCCCAGTACAATCAATCAATCAGTCAATCAATCAATCAATGGGCCAATCAAATAAAAATCCCCTTCAGCTAAATAGGCTGACTGCAGGCTGCTAAGAGCTGAAGTTTCCTGTTACCTTCTCTTTGGCCTGAACAACTGTCCAGACCTGTGAGAATGAGTCCCAGGGAAGTCTTCAGGAATATTTGTATCCAAGGTTACATGACTGAACCAAAATTATTCCAGTGGCAAAAGACAACAAATACATGTTTCACTGTTTTGTTTTAGAAAACATGCAAACAAGGGGCTGGGGATTTAGCTCAGCAGCACAGCGCCTGCCTGGCAAATGCAAGGTCAAGAGTTCGATTGCTGGTACCGGAAAACAACAACAACAAAAAATAATAATAAAGAATATTAAAAAAAAAAAAAAGAAGAAAACATGCAAACAAGCAAACTACACTTATCTCCACCAGAACAACAGTCCTATTTAGAAAAAAGGGAGTTAGCTCCCTCACAAACACCTTGTCTCGCCGGGCATGGTGGCGCCTGCCTGTAATCCCAGCACTCCAAGTTCGAGGCCAGCCTGGGCTACAAAGTGAGCTTAAGGTCAGCCTGAACTGTATTTCGAGACCCTGTCTCAAAAAGACAAAAAGAAAGAAAAGAAGTAGGGAGTCAAACCATCTACACTATATTACTCTAAAAGCAATTACAGGGCAAAAAGTAATTAAAAAGCAGGTTTCCAGAACTGATCATAGTCTGAAGTCCTCTAAAAGGCTAATGATGGAAGAATCTTTTAAGGAAGGCATAGTAGTACACTCCTGTAATCCCAGCACTCAGGAGGCTGAGGCAGGATTGTTGCAAGTTAGAGACCAGCCTGGGGGCCACAAAGTGAGCTCAAGGCCAGCTTGAATGAACTGCATAGCGAGACCTTGTTTCAAAAAAAAAAAAAAAAAGGATCTTTTCCTTAATCTCTCAGAGTACACACTCTGAAGGGCAAACCACCAAAAACTAAATGCAACTGGTGAGAAAGTAAACACACCTAGACCCAGCATAAAACAAAGCCACGAGGAATGGCAGATTCTGTGGAACCGAGCAGAGCTGCCACTCACACACCGTCTCCTCCTTCTGCTCGGTCCTGGAGTCAAGCGTGCTCCTTCCTACCAGGAACACACTGATGACAGCGGCTATCCACAAGAGGCCAGTTCTGAAAACCTCAATCCATGGGATTTCAAGGAATGTGCCTCTGTGCTCCTGTTCACGGTAGCAAAGAGCCAGCTTCTATGTCCCCCACTTCATTCTAGTCACAGAAAGATGCTTGTGAAGAACAGGAAGGAAGAGCAGGAAAAGAGAAGAAATCTTTTAGAAATACTCATAAAGAAATTCACCTATAAGCTGGATGCATACCTGCAATGCCAGCACTCAGGAGGCTGAGGCAGGAGGATCTTTCCAAGTTCAAGACTAGCCTGGGCTACAAAGTGAGCTCAAGACCAGACTGAACTGCATAGCAAGACCCTGTCTCAAAAAGACACACAAAAAAAAGAAAGAAAGAAATTCTCCTGTAATCCTCTCTGCTCACCACCCACTGCTCGGATTCTCAGAGATTATGAAATCCAGAAAAAATAAAATGTTACACCTGCAAGGACCCTTAGGGCTTCTCCAACCCAACCCTTTCATTTTACCAATGAGAAAATACAGAGAACACCTACAAAAAATAGGCAAATGACACACTGCCTGGACAGAGCAGAACTCAGGTCTCCTAAACCCACAATCTGCACACTGAGCTACAACCCCAACTCTTTTAATTTTTTTTTTAATTTTGAGAAAAGAGTCTTGCTAAGTTACCTAGGTATGTCTCAAATTTTCAATTTTTTTTGCCTCTGCCTCCCAAAGTACTAGGACTACATGTGTGTACCAAGACACGTAGCTATTCTTTTAAGCCCTACACAGAATTAAGAACTGAAACTATTTTCCAAGGAAATTAATTGGCAATCCTGGTATAGTTTGGAAAACTGAAAGAGAAACAAAAGAAAAAAACAAGGAGATAAGCATTTGTCCATTGTAGCTCTTAAACTATTTTGTAAAGATATAAAAAAAATAAAGTGCTAGGCATGGTGGTACATGGCTATAATTCCATCTACTTGGGAGGCTGAGGCAGGAATATCGAAGTCAGAGACCAGTCTGGGCAATTTAGCAAGACCTGTCTCAAAAATAAAAAGGGCTGTGGATGTAGCTCACTGGTAGAGGGCTTTGGGTTCAATACCCAGTACCATAAAAATTAAGCAGACTACTGCGCTAGACAGTCTCTTTACCCAAAGTCTTTTACTGTTTAGAGCTCTCCTCTCACCTCACTAAACACCCACACACCAAGACTCTCGCTTCTCCCTGCCCACCCCGCTGCCAGGATCCTCCCTGTTCTCGAGACATTACTTTAGAATGTGAAAAACCTTCTTTCATGAGACTGAAAAACCAACAGTCTAATCCCAGAGGTGCTTTTCCGTTAGAAAGTGACAAACTAAAAACATCTGGTATAACTCCTTCATCTGGCATAATTCTTCTCGCCGCCCATTAAAATACTCACAAATGTTCATTAAGACACAACTAACTGCATGAAAATTTAAGGCACACAGCAAAGTTTCCAACTTCCCTGCCGACAGAAAAAACTGAACACACTCTGGACATTAACCTGAGGAAAAACAGGAGAAACAGATGCTAAGATGCAAAGGTGACTCCGGGTTGTCCCACTGTACCCAGCTACATGCGCAAGAAGAGAGGACACAGGCCCAAGTGCTGGGGTGACCAGCAGCACCAGGCCAAATCCTACCTGCCCTATGCAGCTTTCCTTAGCACCTGCCCACGCTGAGACCATAGTTCCCAGCCAGCAGCCAGTGAGAAGACAAAGGAGGACTGCCTCCGGGTAAACACCTACCCTCAGGGTTCCTTCAGTATGTGCATCCCCCCCCAAGAAAAACCTAAGCTCAGGCAGCACAGGGAGGCTCTGTTCCTCACAGTCCCCAACTGAGACAATCCGAAATTAATAATGGTACCAACATATGGAAAGAAATGCAGGGCCTACGCGGGCGTGAAGCAGGATGATACTCACGTAATAGGGAAGTTGACAATCGTTGGATTCTTCTCCACAAAGAAGTTGTTCTTAGTGAATCTCTTGATACAAAAGATTAGATATGGAGGCAGCTTGGTGAGCTGGAAGCGCTTCAGGAAGTTCTCTTTGTAAGTCTTATACTCCTAGAGAGAGGAAAAAGCTTATCAAACAAGTGCTGTAGCTCAGTACATACTGGGGCATGGGCATAAGGTTTTCTTTATTTTTAAACACAATTTTGCCTCACACCTAGACTTCAAAAGACACCTGATGGGGCTGGGGATTTAGCTCAGCGGCACAGAGCCTGCCTGGCAAGCGCAAGGTCGTGAGTTTGATTCCTGGTACAGGGAAAAAAAAAAAGAAAGATCAGATCAGAGTAGTGGGGGGCGGGGGGGACAGAAGACACCTGATCCCAGAAACCATGAAAGAGGCTAAGCTTAGCAATGTGGCTGAGGCTGATTAAAATACCTCAACTGTGGGCACTGTTTCAGCCGGTACACAACCATATGTTACATAAACTATAATCCTAGTAACGTGGGTACCATGTTCCTCCTAAGTAACTTTTTTTTTTTGGTACCAGGAATCAAACTCAGGACCTTGCGCTTGCCAGGCAGGAGCTTGTGCCACTCACTGAGTTATACTCCCAGCCCACATTACTTCTATAAGGAAAACAAAATCATCAAGTGAAAAGAGGATTTGTTAAAAGCTGAATTAAACCACGCTAGTCCTACTTATTTAATTCATAAAGAACTCCCTGGCTTCTGCAAGAGTGAAGAGCCCCCATGCCCGAGTACTCCTGCAGAGGTGGCCACAAACTCCCAATGCTCCTCCTCCTCGAAGTCCCAAGACTTGCACCTGGAGCGCAACTCAGGGACAGAGTCACTGGTGGGCCACGTTTCCTGAGGGCTGCTCAGGAGGAGGGCGATGACCTGAAGCCCAGCCAGCTACACAGCCATGGGGCCAAAGCTCATGAACATGAATCATGAATTTATTTTTCCTAACGCAAATTTTTATCCTTGGTAAAGAGGTAAGCATGAAAGATTAACCACTACCAGACAGAAAATACCAGTGAAAGCCTCCATCTCTGGAGTGAGTGCTGGAGGAAACAACAGACTCCTGCAGGGTTTCCCAGGAAAAAGGTTTTACTTTTGCTTTTGTTTTTTGAGACAAGGTCTTGCTCTATAGCTCAGGCTGCCCCTGAGCTCACTATGTAGCCCAGGCTGGCTTCAAACTTGAGGCAATCTTCCTACCTCAGCCTCCCAAGTGCTGGGATTACAGCTGTGTACTACCACACCAGCTCTTGGGCCTTTTTGTTTTTTTGCCCAGGAAAATATTTTAATATAAAATTACAACATACATACTTTAAAACCATTTTAGCCAAGGTGGTGGCACATGCCCATAAGCCTAGCTATTACAGAAGGCTAAGGTAAGCGACTCATGAGTTCAAGATCAGCCTGGGCAGTTTAGTGCAACCTTGTCTCAAAATTTTAAAAAAGGGCTGGGGACACAGCTCAGTGCTCTGGGCTCAATTCCCACTAACCTTGCTCCCCCCACCTCAAAAGACTCAAACCATCTAGGATAAAAGGAGGAATTAAACTAAGAAATCAACAAACAGCTGAACAGATAAAAAGAAACTTTCAACTTGAAAAAAGGTAATATTACAGTTAAGAATAAAATTATTTCATTTATATTTCAGTTCCGTAATTCCCTTACATTAATACTGATGGTATAACATTTTTTTCAAGGATGGAAGAGTCTTCCGACCTTTGTGAATTTCTACTCTAGTACCCAGGGGCAGGCAGCAGGCTAACAGGGACATATGAGACTTAGAAGATGGGGCACTGCAAGCTTTGGGGCGAGGCTCCAAAGAGAAAACACAGTTTATAATAATAACTGCATCACCCGCAGTGAAGCCTAGGTATACACAGAAGACAAGGGGGCTGGGGTGCAGCTAGGTGACACAGTGCTGCTGGTATACGGGAGGCCTGGAGACGGGGAGGGAATCGGAAGGGAGAGCCGGGAATGCGAGCAGGGCGGTGTGCGCAGGGGCTACCTTCTCCGTGATGCCGTTGAACTTGGCCAGGATGTTGAAGAGCGGCACCTGGGGAATAATAAGCTGCTCCTTCTCATCCTTGTAGAGCGGGGCAGTAGGGAGGTCCAGCGTCAGGTACATAAACGTGGACTCCACCATTGTCTCCTGGTACTCGTCATTATGGAGCAGCTGCTCTTTCTCCTCTGCTGGCTGAAGATGCACAAGAAGAAAGGAAAGAGCGTGAGTGGTATGTCCACCATCAGGGACGAAGGGGGCGCCAGCACAGTCTCACACGCAGCAGCAGCACCTGAGCCGATGAACTCACAAACGGACAGCCTTCCCTCTTCCAGGGAATTTTATTTCAGCCTATGCAGAAAGCTTGGCTGAGATTTCTGGAAAAACACACCAGCGCCTCTCAGTGGTGAGACAAACCCAGCCTGCAGACCACACCAACCACCACCTCCCCGGCTTGCAGCCCTCTGCCACGGCAGGTCCCGGCGCCGCCACCCAGCAGAGGCTCCGTAGAACTCTTCAGGGCCACGCAGCTTTGTCAGCTCTCTGAGCATCTCTCTGTCGCCCCCAAAGCTCACAGGCAACATACATTAGTCCAAGACCTGGTTCAACCCACTTACCAGGTCAGGATGGGGAAGCTTTTTAGTGAAGATCCTCATGGACCCTTGGAAAACATCGGTCACAATCGCTGCAAACAGAAAGCGAAGACAAGGTCTGTGAGGCTGGAAAGCACGTCAAAACCTACTGCCAACTTCATTCCTACCATGGGCCAGCACCTTCTAGGCTAAACCACAGCTCTCCCTCAACGTAGAAGTTTCCCTTTGTCACATACACCACAATGGTTCCTTTACAATTGTTCGTTAAATAATTACACTATGTCTCCTCTACAAGACAACCTTTGACCCTCCCAATACAGGGCCTGGTCCATCAGAGAAAAAGTGTGTTTGAGATGAAGGAATGATTTACAGAGTGTGGGGATACATCGATCACAAGCAAAACAGTCCAGCCCAGGAACTTCCCATGACCAGACACTGCCTGGAAAGGGAGGCAACGTCCAGCCTGTCTCGCACAAAAAAAGAAAACAACAAACTAAGAGATGGACCAAAATGCAAGCAAAGCAGAGACACAAAGCACAACCAGGTCCTAGAATCTGCCAGGACACAAGTGAAGAGAACTCAGGCGGAGCACAGACTGAAGACACAGGTAGCAGTGCAGGGAAACAGCACCACCCCAAGACACCATCGGCCGTCAGAACAGAGAAGACATGAAAACCGCATTAGGGCTCCAAGATGACTCAGCTGGCTCGCAGTCTGTAACTAGTAACTATAATGGCACTCAGAAAAGTGAACCTAATACCACTAAGCCAGTGTGAACACCAAGGGACAGAGGGACCCACCTCAGGCCTCCAAGTTCAGACTCAGACTACACAACTAGCTTTGATTCTGCTCCAATCTGCAACCTGCAGGCCAGGCCAGCCACCCACTGCATCCCCTCACGCTAGCGCTTGTGCAGGCAGGAGACTCACGGTGCACAGCATGCGGCCTGGCCCACAGTTCAACAAGGGAACAAGATCGCTAGGGCACAATTTTACCAACTTTTGCTTTTTTTATTTTTTGTGGTGCTGGGGATTGAGCCCAGGGCCTCACACAAGCTAGGCAAGCGCTCTACCACTGAGCCACATCCCCAGCCCCTATTTTTTCACTGACATAACTATACGTATCTACAGGGAATACAGTGCGACGTTTCAATACCTGTACACAGTATGTGTAATGATAGGGTCAGGTACCTGGCAAATCTGTCATTTCTTTGTGTTGGGAGCATTCAAAACCCTCTCTACCAGCTATGTATGCAGTTAACTGTTGTCAACCATCATTATCACACTGCGCTACAGAACATCAACACCCACTCCCCCTTTCCCACTACTACCTGTACCCACTACCGTCTCTTCTTCTCCTTTGCCTTCCATGTCCTACCTCTCTCTGGTAACCGCTATGCTCCTTTTATAAGATCAACTTCTTTGGCTTCTGTAAGTGACAACATATTTATCTTTCTGTACCTGACTTGAAGACAGTTATCTTCCAGGAACTTCTGCTTATTAAAAGTACCACTGGGGCCAGGCATGGTAGCACACATCTGTAATCCCAGCACTTGGGAGGCTGAGGCAGGAGGAACATTGCAAGTTCCATGCCAGCCTGGGCTACACATTCAGTTCAAGGCCAGGCTGAAATGTATAGCAAGATTCTGTCTCAAAAGAACAAAACCAAAACCAAAAACAAAAAAAACACTGAAAAATTAACCATATTCTAACAAAACAAAATATGAAAAGCCAGGCACGGTGGTGCATGACTGCAATCCCAGCTACTGAGGAAACTGAAGCAGAAGGATGGCCAATCCAAGGCCAGCCTGGGCAACTTAGCAAGACCCTGGGTCAAAATAAAAAAAAATAAAGAGCTGAGGATGTAGCTCAGTACTCTCTGGGTTTAATCCCCAGTACCACCCAACACACCAAAATAAAATACAAAACAAAAAACCTAAAATTATGCAGAAAGGCTTATTCTGTAAGAAAATTTAGTCTGTGTACAATGGATACCAGCCCCTTGCCCCCCAAAAACATACAGCTACCAACAAAAGGAGAGGAAGTTGCAAAGATATTTGGAAGGGAGCAAAGAAAAAAGAGCTCCTCTTCAAAAGCAACACTGTCGGGGCACAGTGGCGCACACCTGTAATCCCAGCTCTTGGAAGGTTGAAGCAGGAGGACTGCCATGAGTTCCAGGCCAGCCGGGGCTACAAAGTGAGTTCAAGGCCAGCCTGAACTACACAGCAAAACCCTGTCTCAAAAAGACCCAAAACAACCATGACTTACTCTTCTTTTTCTTCTTTGTGCCCCCCAGAGCGGAGTGCAGGGCATTCAGAAACCAAGACAGGAAGTCAACGCCATCCCCTGGGAAAAAAGAATGGAGCATGTTGAAGCTGGGAGCTTGTGAGGAGCCCAAACTGCACACTAGCTGGCCCCACCCCAGCCCTGCTTCCTCCCAGCCACACCCCTGTGGGCTCCTCTGCTTGATCCTGGGTGCTGGCGCCCTTCAAGGTTGAGTTCTTCCTCTCTGTCTGTACTCTCTCCCTAGACACCTGCCCCCTGCTGGACCCACAGCAGGAGCCTCAACTATCACCTGTCTCTACCCTACACTCCTATCTCATCACCCAGCGATGACAAAGGAATGAATAACGACCATAATATCCGCTTCTCCTGGGGCAGCTCCGACTTCCCCTTCCCTCCTCTAGCTTACATAGATTCCTACCCTGCTAGGAAGGTGACTCCAGAGCTAGCACCGAGAAGACATGGAGAGCAATGGTTTCCGGGATCAAACACATGGGCAATATTCCTGATCCAAGCGGTGGGGGCCCAAAGAGCCTCACCCAGACAATCTGGGATAATGTTTACTTCCTTACCAGTCAAGATTTGCTTCTACCCACCTCCTCTTTGCTCACCCCATTCAAATCTCAAAGGCCGTAACATATCTTTTTTGGCCAGTCATGATGGCACGCATCCATAACCCCAGCACTCAGGAGGCTGAGGCAGGAAGATCACCACGAGTTTGAGGGCAGCCTGGGATACACAATGAGATGGAGGCCAGCCTGAACTGTCTCAAGAGAACAACAAATGTCTTTCTTAACTTCATTTCCCTAATCCCAAAGGCTTCTGAAAGCGGGTACGATGTAGCTCAATGGCAGAGCAGTGGTCTAATAGGAATGAGGTTCTGGGTTCTATACCCAGCACAGGAAGAAAAAATAAAAAATAAAAAAGGTCTCTACAGTCTACAGTCATACCACCCTGTACACGCCCAATCTCGTCCAAAGGCCTCCACCAACTCCACAGGACGACGTTCCTCCCACTCATACAGAACGCTTCCTGCGACAACGAATGATCAGCGCTAAACACCGCGACGCTCAGGTTTCAGAGGCTGAGGAAACTGTGCGTATGCGACAATACGGACAGCAGTAACGGTAGAAGAAACTGAGTAAGTTTACTGCTAGAGTATAAAGACTTCTCTCTAACTCTGTGACCAATTTTGCTTTAACTTTCCAAATCTGTCAAAAGCTGAGAGGCCCCAACACCCTGGGAGGTACCTGGGGAGAAGCTCCACGAATGCTGCCGTGGACCTACCCCGCCACGGATATTCGGTTCAGAGAAAATCAGTCTCCACAAGAACTTTATACCTTGATGCAGCCTAACATAAAAACCCAGACCTTGCACAGAGCTGGTCCAGAAGCAAAAATAGCCCTACAGACTGCAAACACCTTGGCAGTCCTAGCAGTTGGAATCCCATAGTCCTACCCCACACACAGCCTGGCTGTCCAAGTTTATCTTAAGCTGGCTAAAAAGAAAGCTTTGTGTTACTATCACAGTTTCTTTTTTGTAAAAATCTTTTTGGGTTTATGTCTTGTACCCTGAGTAACTACTTTGAGGATAACCATAGAGTCTACTAACTTGTTACTCTATTAAAAAAAGAAGTAGGATGAGGTACTCAGAGTGAGATGTTACAAGGTTGCAAACTGCTTGACACCAAGCTCAAATAGTTCATCGGAGAATAAAGCAGAGTGCTCTGATCAATGCCTAGTATCCATGCACTGTGCATCTTACTCCCCGAAGCCCCGAGGGTCCCTGGGTCCCACTCCTCAGCTGCTTCCCTGACTGCGCCCTCCTTCCTCTGTCCTCCCTAAGTCTCCGACTCTTAAAAGCCACTACTGCTTCTCCCCCTCTAAGTCATTCCTCAACTGGAAAATGCTTTGCAAACACAGATCTGAGGTCAAACCTTTGCTTGAAAGCCTTCACTGACCCGCCCTGCTATCAGGACACAGGCCCAGCTCCTACAGTACCACAGACACCAGGCAATCTAGTTGCTCCTTCTCCCCTGACCCCTGAGCCCAGGCCCGGCCACTCGCCTGCTGTCCATCCGTGCCAGGCACCTCTGTGCTTCTGCCTGCCCATCCTCTCCACTGGAATTGTCCCTCCCCGAGCTGCCTCCTCCTCAGCCTAAAACTCAGGGCTCCGCTCCTCCACTCCGGTCTTGCTCTACCTCCCATGCGTTCCACTGGGCGTCCCTGCTCCACACCCCCTCCCACAATTCACTTGTGACAGCAATTAAGACCCGGGGACTCCTTTTTACATAGTTACCTTCCCGCTAGCCTGGTAGCTCCTGGAAGAGAAAAATCTTATCCCAGCAGCTCCAAAACCGAGCACCATGAATGCACGTGGAACAAACTGATGCAGCGTGAGCTGACACTGTGGGAGATCAGGAACTAACAGTCAGGGTCCACTGCACTCACAAGGCGATGGCAACTTGGGTCAGAGAGATGAGAGCAATCAAAGTGGTTCACCAGAGTACCCTGGAATGGGACCTGGCTAAGAAAGAAGCACTGGCGGCAGGGGCTTCAAAAGGGCTTCTCTCTTTCCCGGCCTCCGGGTTTCCGCCAGGCCACACCGCTTATTTTACAAAATGAACAGACTCCACTCACTAGAATTTCCTGGGCGCCTGAGCAGGGCCAGCTGACTACAGAGGAATGAAGAATCTCACCGCACTACCCACCAGACACTCACGTCAGGCTACTTTCAAAAGTCACTGCACGGTGGAAATAAGTTTTGTTTGTCAAACTAGTTCCGCCATCCTCAACTCAGGGAAACAGAGATGACATGTTCCTTACCTTGTTTGGTGATCTGAAAAGTCTTTTTGCTACAAAGGACAACAGCCTGAAGCATCTCGTGGGGAGAGACGTGCGCCTTAAAATTCCGAGGGTTCCACAGCTTTCTCATGAGCTCTCCAAAACGCTGCACCAGCAGGAACATGATATCCCCTGGGGGGCGCTTGATGTTCTTATAATTATCTTCTTCCAGGAAGTAGTTCCGGAGGGGAGGAACATTAGACAGAGCCTAGAACCAAACTCTGGTAAATCCAAATCCCCTCTGCAGGACCCCTCAGAGACAAGCTTTCTTTTAACTTTCTTTTTCTTCTAACTTTCTTTTGTGTTTTTTTTTTTTTTTTTTTGCTTTTTGTTTTTTTCCGGTACTGGAATCGAACTCATGACCTCGCACTTGCCAGGCAGGTGCTGTGCCGCTGAGCTAAATCCCCAGCCCCCTAACTTTCTTTTAACAGAACCTTGAGACAGACCTAGGGTGACTTGAAGGAGGCTGAAGTAGCAGGTCCTCAGGGAATCCTACCTGGAGCCCACATTAGAGAAATATCCTCCACACTGAAGCCCACATGAAGCAGGTCTGCAGGCATCGGGCAGATGTGGGTATCACAGAGGAGTTTTTAAAAAAAGTACTAAAATCCGTATGCACTGACCAACTTATTTAATATTTTCTTTCTAATTATGTCTGTGATGACGTTAAGATTCACAAGGTACTAAGGTTGGAAATGCAATACAGTGTTCTTTCTTTCTTTCTCATCTATTTTGGTAGGAGTAAAGAGAACCATTTTAGGACATGGGTCCTCATCTCTCAACCCCACAGTAAAATAAAATGAAACTCATCTAAATAAAATGTGCTATTTTCCCAAAATAAAACCATATAATTACATGTAAATACACAATTAGAATGAAAAATGGTCAAGCCAGGTGTGGTGGTGCACACCTATATTGTCCACATTCTGGGAGGAGGCCATGGCAGGCGGATCACAAGTTCAAGCCCAGTCTGAGCAATTCAGAGAGACCCTGCCTCAAAATTTAAAATAATACATAACAGAAGGGCCGGATATGTAGCTGAGAGTGAAAAGATCTCAGGTTCAATACCCAACAAAGAAAGAAAGAAAGAAAGAAAGGAGAGGCAGACAGGTAGGAAGGAAAGAAGGAAAGGAGGGAGGGAAGAGAAAATTAAAGCCCAGCATGGTGGCACACACCTACAAACTCAATACTTGGGAGGCCGAGGCAGGAAGATCAATGAGTTCGAACCTGGCATGGGCTCCATAGTGAGCTCACAGCTACACAGTGAGTTCAAGACCACCCTGGACTACACAGTGAGACCCTGTCCTGAAATAAATTAAAAAGGAACAAAATAAAAGATGATAGGAAACAGGAAGATAGACTACTGAAGAGACTGGACAGTTTCTGGGGATGGAGGGAGACAGCAGGGGAGGGAGGAGAAAGTAAAAAGGATCAAGATGCACTATGGATGGGTACCAACTCCTGCCAATTCCTGATCCTACCTGAAGGACAGCATTGGCATAGTCGTTGGCCTTTATGTTATTCAGTCCCACGATACCCGGTAGGTAAGTGGTACCATCATATGCCCGGGACAGTTTGGCTTGCTTGTCCAAGTTTGCAATCTGCTGCTTTGTGAAAGTAGGCTTCAACACATACTGGAGAGAAAAGAAAAATTCTAAGTTGTTTTATAGCTATAAACAGTTCACAAGCTATGTCTGCCAAAACCGAAAACAAAAATGCTTCGGTCATGAACATCCCACCATGCTAGAAAGGACCTCAACCAGGGATGGTGGTACACACCTTTAATCCCAGGACTCAGGAGGCTGAGACAGGAGGATGCAATACTCAGCTCTCTAAAGCATACAAGAAAGCCAGATGTGGAGCCACATGCCTGTAATCTCAGCCTTAGCTACATAGTGATTTTGAAGTTAGCCTGAACTGCATAGCAAGACCCCGTCCCAAAAAGAAAAAAAAAAAGCATACAAAAGCCCAAGTTTCAACTGGAACTTCACCCAGAGTGACACAAGTACCCAGCTCAGGAACAGAGAAGCTCCTCCCTTCTGGGTAGGACTAGGGGCTTCCGGCTCTGCGGGATTAAAGGGGCAGGATCTTCCCAGAGTTATGACATTCACTATGCCACAGACCAGATGGAGGTCGTCACGAACTTACTCTGACACCTTGAATGTATCCAGTCTCTCCCCCGACCCCAGGGGAACCGGTTCCCAGGGAGCCCTGGACAGCTCACCAAAGTCTGCCCCGAACCAGGCCTCCGGCACACGCACCGTGATATCCTCCAGTGAGGAATCGATGATCTCATAGTTGTCTGGAAGGCAGTAAAACTTGAGGGTGTGGAGGTTCAAGAAGACATGGTGGCTAAACTGGACGCTGTGAATGTAGGCGTGAGACTTCAAGCCCCGGCCTGTAGGGAAGGGCGAAAGGATGTCAGAGAAGGGCAGATCCTAGAAAGGCACAGGTCTGTTGTTTTATACTGGAACATGTTAAAAGCAAAGACAAAGGACTACACCCTCCGTAACATGAACTTCTTGTGTGAACTCTCATCACCAAACAGTAGCAAGAGACAACAGCACATTAACTGCTTCAGTCCCCAGATGGCATTAAAACACTGGCTGGGGCTGAGAGCAGTGGCACACATCTGTTAACCCCAGCCCTCAGGAGGCCGAAGCAGGAAGACTCCAAGTTCAAGTCCAGCCTGGGCTACATGGCGAGTTCAAGGTCACCCTAAGCTACATAGCAAGATCCCACCTCAGAAAGCCAAAAAAAAAAAACCAGACAGATTAGGGAAATTAATTTAAATATAAATATACATGTACACACATATACATATATAAGCTAGCTTCATATGCATCAGAAACTAGGACTATCAAAGAATCTTATATATGAGACACATATCTATATTCATATCTATCTATATAGATATAAATATGCATACACACAAATCAATGTATTCTATCACATAATCACTCAGTCTATCATTACTCAGTCCTCAATTTCCTTTTTTTTTGAGGTAGTCTTGCTATGTTGTACCGGCCTTAAACTCACTTGTAGCCCATGCTTGCCTCGAACTCACAGCAATCCTCCTGCCTCAGCCTCCTGCATGCTAGGATTACAGGCGTGGGCCACTACACCCAGCTGTAGTCCTCAATTTCCAAATGCCACAATCCTGCACCTATGTACTTTGTTCACACTGCCAGTCCTCCCTAGCATCTCTTACTTAACCCACCCACACCCTGTATGCCGTTTAAATCCCACCGCACCTCCTCCACAAACTCGGCACAAACACCACAGCTAGTTCCACCCTACCTCCATGAGCTCAAACCTCGTTAACACTAACCTTTGCATATTCCAGCTCCTACTCTTCTTGCTTTTACTCACTGCCTCACAGCCTAGCATGCATCTTCACAGTCTGATACAACTTGTTGATTGTTTTACATCAATCTTAACTCTGTGAGAGCAAAGAATATAATTCCTTTCTCTTCTGAATCCCCTACTACCTGATGTACATAGCATTTGCTTGGTCTGAAGACTTGAAATAATACACTTTCCAAGAAGAACAGAACTTAAGAAGTCCTTGGAGCAAAATGATTCTCAAAGAAAAAAAAAAAAGAAGTAGGACTTGGGCTATAACCCAGTGGTAGAATGCCTAGCATGGGCTATAAAGTGAGCTCAGGGCCAGCCTGAACTGCATAGTGAGACCCGGTCTCAAAGACAATCCATCAATCAATCAACAAATAAATAAATAAGATCCCTGAGAACAAGTTGTTTTGTTTTGGTGGCACTGTGGATTGGACCCAGGGCCTCACGTATTGTCGGCAGACATGCTACCCCTGAGCTACACTCCCAGTCCTTTTTATTTTAGTTTGAGATTGGATCTTAGTAAATTACCCAGATTAGTCTAACTTGAAATCCTCGTTAGCTCCTGAGTAACAGGAACTACAGGTGTGCATCATTGCACCTGGCAGATGAATAATGTACTTTGTTAAAAAAAACTGCCGACAGCTCTGAAAACTCAGGTTTGTAATTCGTAACATTCATTTACCTTGAAAGTACTTGCCGCACACCAGACAGGCGTATGCATTGATATGCGAGAGGGAGATAGAACACAGTTTCTCAAAGTCAAAATCCAGCACGCTCCTGAGAGAACCAAAACACAGGACACGAGACACGCGGTTAGTAAGCGTGAAGGGCTAGGACGGCATCTGAATGAAGCAGTGGGGGCTGCACGCGCCTCCACGCCCCACAACACCCTTCGGAGAACGATGACAACCAGACAAAAGCCACAGGAGGCGCTCAGCGCCCGCACTGTCACCTGCCAGGCCCTAGCTGCGCTACAGCGTCTGCACAGTACCAGGCACCGGGACCCTCCTTCTTCTCAGATGTAGTTTCTACTCGTCCCTGGATTCTGCACCACTGCCTTCGACCAACCACGGATTACAAATATTTGGGGGTAAAGTTACATCTGTAACTAAACAAATACATACAGTTTTCTTCTTTCTTGTTATTCCCTAACCAATACAATGTGAGAGCCACTTATACAGCATTTACACTGCGTTAGGGATTAGCACTCTGGAGGTGGTGTACAGTATGTAACAGGATAGGCACAGACTATAAGCAAACATGATGCCATCTCATTTGGTGTTTTTGTTGATCTGTCTGAGGTTTTATGCAGTACTGGGGACTAAATCTAGGGCTCCGTACATGCTAGGCAAGCACTCTACCACTAAGCTAAACCCCTCAACCCCACAATGTCTTTTCTGTGCTTTTTTATTTTTTGAGACAAGGTCTCACTATGTAGTTCAAGCTGGCCTCAAATGTACTATGTAGCCCAGGCTGGCCTTAAATTTGCGGTGATCCTCCTACCTCAGCCTTCCAAGTGCTCGGATTATAGGCATGCACCACCATACCTGGCTCATGATGCCATTTTTATATAAGGGTCTTGAGGATCCACAGATTTTGGTATCCATCAAATCTAGCTACCAATCCCCAATAGATACTAAGGGACAGATATAGTTATAAACAGTCAAGCCGGGCGTGGTGGTACATGCCTGTAATCCTAGCACTCAGGAGGCTGAGGCAGGAGGATCTTTGCAAGTTCGAGACCAGCCTGGGCTACAAAGTGAGCTCAAGGCCAGCCTGAACTGCACAGTGAGACCATGTCTCAAAAAGAAAAAAAAAGAAAAAAAAACAGTCAAGAATCTTCCAATCAGGCATGGTGGAACATGCCTGTAATTCATCCAAATACTCAGGAGGCTGAGGCAGGAGGATCTCTGCAAGTTCATGGCCAGCCTGAGCTACACAGTGAGTTCAAGACCAGCCTGAACTATATAGTGAGACCTGGTTTCAAAAAACAAAATTAAATTAAATTTTAAAAGCACTGGGAACGTAGCTCAGTAGAAGGCCTTGGGTCCCACCCCCAGTACCCTACCACCACCACCACTCATACACGCGAAGAAGCAATTCTATTACTGCAGAAAGGTCTACTGGACAGCATCGTCTTTGAATGTAGGCTGAAACACATTGTAACAGGCCACATGGGAATGAGAGAAAGTAATACAATGAGGGTGTAACTAGCTCTGCCTTCAAATACTTTGTTTTTGTCTGAACCTCAGGCACCTAGAATACTGCTGCGGTATTAGGCACCTTCCTCATCGCTGAAACACAATACCTGCTACCCACAACTCCAAGGAGGAGAGGGGTTTATTTGGCTCACAGTTGCCAGTGGGGTCAGCCCAAAGCTGGCTGGCTCCAAGGCAGAAATGGCCTGGCAGAGGGCAGCTGCCCATTCCATGACCACCCGAAGGAAACAAGGGAAGACCCAGAGACAAGTACGGCCCCTTTCAGAGTGACCCATCTGCCAGCAGGCCCCACCTCCCACACTCAGCTGTGAGCTCATTAATGTGTGGACCAAGGAGCAGAGCACCCCAGGATCTCCAACACAGGAGCCTTAGGGGGGGATATCTTCAACCCAAACCACAAGTACCTCGTGTACAGTGACGCGGAAGAAATGTTTAAGTTTTGGACTGTTATTTCAAGTATATTATGGATTCCCTTATTCCAAAATACGACTTTGCAATGAGGCAAAAGTTTTTTGTTTGTTTCTGCAGTACTGAGAATGCAACATAAGGCCTCACTGTACACTGTGCTGTACCGCCTAGTTCTTTTTCTATTTTCTAACAGGGTCTTGCTAAGTTGCCCAAACTGGGCCGCCACCTGTGATCCTCCTGTCTCAGCCTTCCAGAGTGCTAGGCTACGAGTCCTTTACGCAAGTGCTCACCCTTAAACAACATGTGGGGACACGTCCACAATATGCACTGTTGTTCTCTGGGCAGAAAGCTTTAAAAGGAGTAAAGTTTGTGATTATGGGGTATGGTGGCACACACCTATAAGCCCAGTACTCTGGGAGGCTGAGGCAGGATTCTAAGTTTGAGCTCAGTCTGAGTAACTTGGCAACTCAGTGAGATGCTGTCTCAAAATAGAGAAAGGCTTGGAATGTAGTTCAGTGGGAGGGCCTAAGTTCCCTTCCCAATACCACCCCCCAAAAAAACTATAAATGTGTTGTTTGACGCATTGTCCAAACAATTTTCTTCCTGGATCCCATTTTTCTTTTAGGACCTTCAATCTCTCTCCCCTACTGACCTGTTAATGGTATCCAGGTATGGGCAGTGGCGGCTCCTCCGGTCCTCAGAATCCACACGGCCATTCTTCGCTGAAAAGAAAATCATCATAGGCTTTGAAAATGGGAAACATGTACTCAGGGTCAACTACCATTACAAAGAAACACAGAAGTGGGAAAATGAAGAAAAGCTCCCAAGCCAAACATGGCGGCGCACACCTGTGATGCCAGCTACTCAGTGGGCTGAGGCAGGTGGATCACAAGTTCCAGGCCAGCCTGGACAACTTAGCAAGGATCTGTCTCAAAATAAAGTAAAAATGGGCCCTGGGGATGCAGTACTGAGGATGCAGCTCAGGAGCAAAGCATTTGCCTAGAGGCATGAGACCCTAAATTCAAATCCCCAGTACTTGAGAAAAAACATCCAATGAGGCATGAAAAGTATCGTGAAACATACCACACAGGACCAGATAATTTGAATGTTAATGTACAAGCAGTTTTTAATTTTTTGTAGACTTTTTTAGCTTTATTGTTGTTGTTGTCTTGCTATGTGGTTCAGACTGGCCTTGAGCTCACTAGGTAGCTCAGGCTGACCTTGAACTTGTGGTCATCCTCCTGCCTCAGCCTCCTGGGTGCTGGGATTACAGGCATGCACAACCACCTCTGGCAACACAAGTACAGTTCTTTGTTGTTGTTTTTTGGTTTTTGTTTTGAGACAGGGTCTCATTAGGTAGCCCAGGCTGGCTGAGAACTCGAAGCGATTCTCTTGCTTCAGCCTTCCCTGTGCTGGGATTACAGACGTGCACCACCATGCCTGGCTTTTTTATTTTGAGACAAAGTCTCACTAAATTGCCAAAGTTGGGCTTGAACTTGCAATCCTCCTGCTGTCATTACAGGTGTGCACCACCACATTCAGCAACACAGGAGTACAGTTTAAAGAGCGTGTTCCTGCCTCTTCACTTGTACGGGCATCCTCACTGACAAATCTACCACTTGTGAAGAACCATGAAGGATCTGAGATTCTACCCTATTTTGCAGTTAAATTAGCTTGTTTCACGGATGCTGATGAAGATCTGTGACTACTGGGTCTAAAACAAAGGATAGTTTTAGCACAGCAATAGCAGTAGCCAGAATATACCACCGGCGTAGCTTCAATCAATTCCCACAAGGGAACACGATGAGAACATCTGCACACAGTGGGCTGCATTACTGAAGAAGAACCGTAAGCTTAGAGAAACGGAACCTTTTATAACTGGTTGTGAGGCTGCCTCCCCCTTCTGCTACCCCAATATTCTTGACAACGCAGTAAGGGGCAGCCTCTGGCTGCAATGTGTGCAAAAACAAACAAACAAAACAAACAGGAGAGACCAATGGAGAACAGCCTCCTAAGCCATTCAGCCTAAAAAGTGGTACATAGTCGTTTAGTCAGGTGCCCAGGATTCAGGCTGTCAGCTGAGAAAGTCTGATTCCAGAGATTACAGCAAGACCTACACTAAATTCGGGGTGTTGTAAAAACTGGAGGAAGTAACACCTGAGAACTCATTAGCACAGCGCCTGGCCCAGGTTAGGCGTCCAATGAAGGGATGCTGCTGCTGTTACTGGGCTTAGAAACACTGTAACAACAGTTACTAAGACTTAGTGCGGTCTTCACTAAAACGAGGTCAGGTCTGGAGTCCTCTCCCCGCTTCCCCTCTAGGCAGGCAAGCAGCGGAAGGTTAGGAAGGAAAAACGGACGCGAAGGGGAAACCTTGGCCCAGCCCGGCCCCGCGCACCTCGCACCTCCCGCTCGGGCTCCGAGTCCTCGTCGGCCTCGCGCTCCCGCTTCACCCGCACCGCCGGGACTGGGGGCGCGGGGACATCGCGCACGCTCGCCGGCTCGACCTCTCGCTTCACGCGCACCGGGCTGCCCCGAGAGCCTGGCGCCTCGGGCTCCCGCTCCCGATCTCGCTCCCGCTTCACGCGACCCGAGCTGCTCCGCCACTCGGACTCGCGCTTCCCGCGGGTGGAACCACGAGACTCCCGTTTAGATCGACTAGACATCGCTACTACCGGCCGAGGGATCCGGCGCAGGCGCCGGGCACGCTTGAGCCCGCGTATTGCAACCAATCAGCAGCGGCTCTGGTTTCGAGGACAAAGCGCTCTACGAGTCGGCAATAGGGACAATTCGCGCGGTCAGAAACTTACTGGGGCTACTCCGGTGTTTGAGAAGCAGCTGGAGGTCTCCGGTCCCTTTACCCGTCATTTCTTCCCACCTTAGAGGCAGGAACATCTTATGAGCTATGAAGTTTTCTGGATAATGAAAGTTGTCATTCGATCCCAGATTTTTTTTTCTTCCAAATAACACACCCCAAAAATCTCTTTATAAACATTTACAGAATAAGGAGTGAACAAATAAACTAAAAAGCCAGTGTACATCGCCGCGAGTTCCAGGCCAGCCTCAGCTACATAGTGAGATGTGTCTCAAAAACAAAAACAAAAAAAAGAAAGAAAGAAAGAAAGAAAAAGTCACTGTGTAGACATTTGAGTGAGTGATTAAGTGATTAGGTCAGTAAAGAGATAAGACTAGGGGCTGGGGATTTAGCTCAGCAGCACAGCCTCTGCCTGGGAAGCGCAAGGTCGTGAGTTCGATTCCCGGTACCAGGAAAAAAAAAAAAAAAAGAGGGAGAGAGAGATAAGACTAATCCATCCCAAATTTCTTCAAGACACTGCGTGCCTCCAAACCACCATGGGGACGTTGTCTCGCCCAGCCTCCTTTCCTCAGAGCGACAATTCTGCACAAGAAAAGGCCATACCCCCATATCATTCCCCTCATGCAGAAACCTGGCAGCCTTAATTCCACATTTAGAAAATTGTTGGTATCAGAAAGGCGCAAACACCCTGCCAAGGAACAGGTACTGTATTTATTTTTGGATCTGTCCCTGTTGTTGAGTATGTGGACAACTCATTCTTTTGCCTTGCACAGTAATATTCTATTGTGTGGATATAACATAATTGTATTCATTCATTAGTTCATTTGTTTGTTTTGCATGTTAGAGATGAAGCCAATGCTTCCTGCATGCTGAGCAAAATGCTCTACTACCGAACTATATCCCCAGCCTCCTTTGTCCCTGTTCTGAAAAGAATTCCTGATTTTTTCCTTTTGAAACCAGGTGTGATGGCCCATAACTGTAAACCCAGCACTCTGGTAGGCTGAGGCAGAAAGATCTTAAGTTCAAGCCCAGCCTGGATAACATAGAATTTAGTGTGACCCTGTCTCTAAATTTAAGAAGGGCTGACAATATAGTTCAGGGTGAAGGTTCTGGGTTTAACCCCCAATACCACAAAATAACAACAACACTTTAAAAATAAGGCCTAGCTGGTAGTGGCACATGCCTGTAATCCCAGCACTCAGGAGGATGAGGCAGGAGGATTGTTGTGGGGTTTTTTTGTTTGTTTGGTGACAGGAATGGAACTCAGGACCTTGTGCTTGCCAAGGAGGTGCTGTGCCGCTGAGCTATATCCCCAGCCCTGCTGTGAGTTAGAGACCAGCCTGGGCTACAAAGTGAGCTCAAGGCCAGCCTGAACTGCATAGCGGACCCTGTCTCAAAAAGACTAAATAAATAAATAAAAATTTTAGAATAAAAATTTAAAACTTTTAAAAAACAAAAATAAAGCTCGAAAATTATACACCTCAAAAGCCCTGGCCCCTCCCGCAGGGACAGATAAGTCCTGTGTTCGGTGGGTGCCCAGGTGGGCTGCAGCTGGGCAGCATAATGCCAGTGAGGCTGGACAGGGAGCCCCACTCAAGCGTTGCACTGCTTCCGCTTACAAATGAGGAAACTGAGGCTCACCAGGCTTAATGAGTTAGCCAAGGTCACAGCGCTGGCGCAGGAGTATCATCTATCGCCAGAAAAAAGACTGATGTTAATGAATATTCATAAATGGTTTACATTTTTAAAAAATACTCTGACAGGGGCTGGAGATTTAGCTCAGCGGCAAAAGCGCCTGCCTGGCAAGCGCAAGGTCGTGAGTTCGGTTCCCGGTACCGGAGAAAAACAAACAAACAAAAAAAATACTCTGACATATCAGTTCTAAGCAGAAATCTTTGTTCCTTATTGATAACGTTACCAAGAAAACGAAAAGCCAGGCCCGGTGACACAAGCCTATAAGCTCAGCACTCTGGGAGGCAGAGGCAGGAGGATCACAAGTTCAAGCCCAGCCTGGACAAATAAGTGACTTAGCAAGACTCTTGACTCAAAAAACTAAAAAGGGCTGAGGGTGTAGCTTAGGGCGAAGGCCCTGGTTCAATCCCCAGTGCAAAGAAAAGAAAAACGGAGAAGAAAAATAAGGAAGGAAAGAGAAAAGGAAGAAAGGAAAAAGATAGGAAAACAGAGAAAGACATAGTGCAACAGAAAGTGACGAAGAGGCAGCAAGGAAAGCCCCGCCCCAAGGGTGGAGCCCGAGCAAACCCCACCCCTCTCGTAAACTGCGCGCGCAGCGACCTCTCTGGAGACCGGAAGTCCTGGCTCAGTGGCGGAAGTGGTGCGAGCGGTGGCCCGACCTCTCCTCTCCGCAGGGTTCTCGTTGGGGCCGTTGAGACAGCGGCGGCTTAGCGTCCGGAACTCCAGATGGAGGCGGCCCGGAACCCCCGGCCGGGAGTCTGTTGCAAGCCCGGCGGGCGGCTGGACATGAACCACGGCTTCGTGCACCATATCCGACGGAACCAGATCGCTCGGTACCGCCCTGCCCCGCCGCCGCAGCTGGCCCTGCCCGGCCGGGCCCGGCCGTCGCTGACTCCCGCTCGGCTCCCCGCAGGGACGACTACGATAAGAAGGTGAAGCAGGCGGCCAAGGAGAAGACCAGGAGGCGGCACACGCCCGCACCCACGCGGCCGCGCAAGCCGGACCTGCAGGTGTACCTGCCGCGCCGCCGAGGTGAGGGCCGCCCGCCGCGCCCCCTGCCCCGTCGGGAGAAGCAGGGCGCGGCTCTCCTCGCCCCCGCCTGGAGCCTGCGCCTCAGCGGGCCCCACCTCTGCTCGGTAGAACTGGGAAGGCCCCGGCCCCCGGCTAAGCATCGCTGTTACAGAGGGTACCCGGGAACCGGCACGGGATCCCTTGTCTCCACTTTGTCCCACTGTAACCTGTGTTGGCAGTTCTGCTACCTTTCAGAAAGCCTGGCACCGGTGCAAGCGACCGGGACATAATTAATGAACCCGGGAAAACAGCCATTTCCCCATATTCCTTGTCACCTAGAGGTCACGATAAAAATGTTGCATGACGCTATCAAGTATTCCTTAAAGTGATTTTAGGTCTTACACTATTAATCCATTGAGTCTGTAGGACCTCATCAGTCTAGAGCTCTTGTCATGTGTTTCAGAGTCAGGCAACAGGCACAGAGAGGTTAAGTAACATGCCCAAGTTCTGGGACCTAGTAAATGCAGAACCTGGATATAAATCCAGGGAGAGCTCTGTCTGTCCTTCCACTGCCTTTCGGTCCTGTTTGCCATACCTGCTTTGTAAGCGCTGCGCTGGCCCCAGAGCAGAGATGTAAAGGGAGGTGAAATGCCTGATTGACAGCACAAGAAACATGTACACACACAGGGTCCATCTGAAGATGGGGGCTTGCTTTTACCACATTATTCTCCACCTCATCTCCGGGCGAGGGCTTCAGCAGCATTCCCCTCCCCTCCCCTCTCACTCTGGTTCATCCTTCCAGATGGCTCCACGGCCCCAGTCAACCCAGACTGTGAGGAGTCCGGTGAAAGCAGCAGTAGTGGTGGCTCCGAGCTGGAGCCTTCGGGCCAGCAGCTCTTCTGCTTAGAATACGAGGCGGACAGTGGAGAGGTCACATCAGTTATCGTGTATCAGGTACGCCTTATGGAAACAGCGGCAGCTGGAGGCTCTGGGCTGTGGCAAAAATCACTGCCAGTCCCTGAGCCACTGCCTGCATCCGGGCCAGTGGGAAACCACTGCTCCACATGGGAGCGTAGGACTGCTGGGTGATGCCGACACAGTGCTTCTCTGCAGGGGGAACAGGGAGGAGTTGCGGCTCCCGAGTCGAGAGTCACTGTTACAGGGGACGCCTGAGAAATGACAGGCACTTGCAAGAAACCTTGAGCCAAGTGGAGTTCTGTGAGAGAGTGGTCTAGGAACAGGGCAGGCCGCCTTTCTGAAAGAGGCCAGGCCCTGAGCTTCCTGACTCTTCCTCCACGTAGGACGATGACCCAGAAAGGGTGAGTGAGGAGGTATCAGCACACACGCCTCTGGATGCACCCATGCGAGAGGCCCTCAAGTTACGAATCCAGGAGGAAATGACAAAGCGCCAGAGCCAACGCTGACCAGGTGGAAGGTGTGCTTTCCAGGCTGGAATTACTGCACTTGGAAGAATTCTGCCCAGGGAGCTCATTTCTAGTTTTGGGGTGTCAGGGCCAGTCTGTCTGATCTTGAGACTCTACCCCTGCTGCAAGCACAAGGGTGTTGTAGGACTACACCTGGTCCACCTCCCTTGCAGTCGTTCTTTCTACACGTTGACACCTTTGCCTGGTCTAACATCTGGAATCGTTTGAGAATTTTGCATGGCTAACTTGTTGTGGAAGCAGAGACGTAGGGGAGCCAGGGTTCATGAAGCTGCTTGCTGTCTCAGCAAGGCCATATGCCTGGCCATTCCATGAGGCAAACTTGTTATTTTAGGGTTCTCTTTCATGTTTCTGTTCACTTCCACCCATGGTTTCCTAGTTCTTTTTTTCTCCTCCCCTTTCCCTCTTTTTGTTTCCAGTAGAATTCATCAGTTCTCCCTGCCTCCCAACATGACTATGCAGCTCCACCACACAGACTTTGGAGGTGGGCGGGGCCCGGAGATCTGCCTTTCTAACAAGCTCTCCAGATGGTTCTGATACCAACACCGCAGGAGACCTATGCTTCCCAGCCTACTTGGAGGGATGCCTCCTCCACCTTCCATGGCTTCTCCTGGTTGCTTGCAGGCTCAATGCTTTGCACTCTAGAAAGATGCTGGGCTTAAACTATAACGACTTCTTGCACTTAAACCTGCCTTGCCTAGGGCTACAAAATTCTAGTCTTTGATCTCATCCCCAGCTGTGAATAGGCTATTTCTGCTCAGACTAGAGGGGAATTATCAAAAAAAGCTTAAAACTGACTCTCCAATTGTGACTTAACAGGCTTGAACATATATATGAGGTGAAACTTAACATTAGTAATAATTGTATGTTTGGAACCTTAGTTTTAAGAAAATTCCTAAATAACAAATGCCCTAGAGCCGGGTGTGGTGGAGCACGCCTGTAAATGCCAGCACTTGGGAGGCTGAACCAGGAGGATTGCAGCATGTTCAAGGCCAGCCTGGGCTACATAGTGAGTTTAAGGCCAGCCTGAACTACAGAGCAAGACCTTGTCTCAAAAAAAAAAAAAGAAGCCCTAGGAAGTAAAATGATTTCCCTTTTGTCTGCCCCATGTTTTCTCCTTTGCTGCCTCCCAGCAGTATATAAATCAGATGTCCCAAGAACAGTAATGTCCCAAGAACAGTAATGCTCTTGACTAGAGAACTTTAAAAAGAAACAGTGCTAGGGATGAAACTCAGGGCCTCTTGTATGGGAGGCAAGAGCTCTACCAATGAGCTAAGTCTGTAGCCTTTACATTTCTTCAACACAGGGCCTTTAAGAAGGCTGTGGATATAGCCCAGTGGTAGAGCACATAGCATGCGTAAGGCCCTGGGTTCAATCCTTAGCACCATATGGAAGAAAAGGGTTAGGTTAAGGTCTGAAGTCCACAGGACATCCTGTGCACCAAAGTATTTGTTCTCCAGCAAATCAGCTTATCCTCAGTAACTTGCAGTGTTGGGTGTACGTGGGCATGTAAGCTCTGAGACTTTTGAAACCAAAACCCCGTGCCCCAGGGGTTTCTCTACATCAGGGTCTCAAGAGCAAAGTGTTTCATCTCAGCAGCTTTTCTTTTAAAGGACACCTGAGGGCACTGTTGGTTTGTGTTCTGCACCTTTGAAAACCAGCCCCCTCAAAAAAGGGGCAAGGCAGCTACTTCAGCTATACCTTTCAGACATTAAGCGCTGTTAACCGCAGTTTGCAGTGCCCGAGGAGTGCTGGGACAGCATGCGCTGGTAAGTCAGAGGGCCTGGTTGTGAAGATGGCTGGGGACCACAGTGCTCCAGACCTCAGCTGGCCCAAGGTTAAGTGCCTTAAACTTGCTGCCCGGGGCTCAGTTCTTTCAAAAGAGAAAAATCTTTGCCCTCTACTTATGCAACTGCGCAAGAAGTGCCTTTGGATTTACAGTGTTAACTGCTCTTTATAACTTCTGGGCCAAACTCTCCTGTTTTGTCCCTGCACGTTAGGTGCCCAGTACTTTTAGTCTTCCCGCTCTTCAACAGATTTTAGGACTTGGAACATAGAAATGCACTGGAACTTCGATTCTTAGTCAGGATATACATTTGGGGTCTGTTTTCTCACAGCTGAATTGTCTATTTCCTGGTTTTATTACTAGAACCTAGAAAAGACCTAAAAAGGACTGTAGGGAACAGTACCTGCACCTTTAGCCTCCATTCCTGTCTCTTGGAAAGGGCAAGGTAGTGTGTACCTGTCGTATACTTTTATGCATCTGTCATGTGATCCTTACAAAAAACTTCTCAGGTACTTATGGAAACTCTTAGTTTTTAACCTTTTTTACTTGAGGCACTTTGCTTATCAAGTACAAATACAATATTTTCTGCTCAAGAAAGCACTGTAATTCTCACGTAAGGTATACAGTGTACTGTCCAGCTAATTCACCAGCCTTGCCACCAGATGTCTTTGCTGGTTTCAAAAATTGGTGTTTTGCCATCAATGAGCATTTTTCTGAAGATGTGCAGTGGCAGCAGCTTTGGATTAAGTGGAACTTTCCAGCAGGCTGATTTAGAATCACCGTTGACTCTATGTGTTCTTGGCTGTCTTTACAAAATGTCATTTTAAAAGTCATCTCATTCAATAGGGAGTGCTGGCCCCTTTGCTGAAAGTGAGCCTGGATCTTAAGGCTTTGTGTTTCCTGGACCACAATGGCTGATGTTACTGATAAGACAAAGTTAGTGTGCAGGGGCTTTGGGCCAGGTGTGGTGGAGCACTTCTGTACTCGGGAGGCTGAGGCAGGAGCATCACTGAAAGTTCAAGGCCATCCTGGGCTCCGTAGTGAGTTCAAGGCCAACCTGCACTACATAGCAAGACCCTGTCTCACAAAAAACAAACAAACAAAAAAGAATAACCATAGAGTACTCTCCTACCTCTCAGCAGTTGGAAATAACCACTGGGAAGGTTGACGGTTATTTGAAACATTTTCCCTCCTTTAAAGTCCTGCCGAGTGTCTGAGGAATCACATAGCCAAATAGTCAGAGGCACCTATCCCACGTTTCCCTAGAGGTTGGAGTGATACTGGAAGTCAGAACCTCTACAGCAAATGGCTCCTTCACTTTGTCAGAGCCAACACAATAGGAGTCGGTGGCACTGGCTGTGTCATGGTGCTAGACATAAAAAAGCTATACATGTTGCTTTCTTGTTTCCTGTTTCTGCTGTGTAGATGAATAAAATGAAGTGTGCAAATCACTTGAAAATCCCAGAAGGGTATTTTTCAAATAGAATATTTTTGGTAACCAATAAACTTATTTTTACAGCATTTGTCTTTGCCAAGAGTTGTGAAATCGCTTGTGTACATGAGGAAGCGGAGATTAAGTGGCTGCCCTGAGGTCGTTGCCCCACAGAATCAGTACTGGAAATCTCATCTCTTGCTTTGCTTTACTATTTTAGAACCTGTCCTGGTTGAAGCATAACAACTAGACTCACGTTGCAGTCGAGTTGGAAGGGATTTTTAAAGACACCTGGCCCTGCTTTTTACCTGATACACGACTAGTCCCCCTGTCCTAAGGACCTTTATCTTGGAGTAATTGTACTTTTGGAACTAGTCACATTGTCATATTAAGCCTAAAAGTGCTTCCAGTGTCTTACCCCCAAATTAGGCTAGAACAACTTTCACCCAGAAGACTGGGCAGGAATGCAGGCTCAGCTCAGTAGGATACAGTGAGTGCTAAGAGCTGAGTTTCCAATGAGTCATCACAGCGCCATTGGATAAATAAGAAAGGGGCCCCTGCTCAGGTGGGAATGTAGCTGGACAGGAAGATAATGCTTCGTGTTAATTAGAAAGAGGCACCCCTGAACCCTCAATGATGGTGCTCACCTGTACTCTCAACACTCCAGAGGCTGAGGCAGGAAAATCACAAGGTTGAGGCCACCTTGGGCAGCTTAGAACTTGCCTCAAAAAGATAGAGGCACCCTTCGGTCCCTGAGTCTAGCAGAGGTTGGGCTGGATTTTATGCCCCTGGCCTATTCAGCCAGGTGTTCTTACAGCAGTCACTGCAATCCATATTTCATGGCTCTGCTTGCACTAGTCCTGATGTGAGTAGGAAGAGAGCTCTCTATTCCTAATTTCCAGTGGGGACACAAGGTTCCATTTCCACCTTCACTGAGGTCCAAAAGGTTTTTACCTCTTTGTACCATTCGAGTTTATTTTTCTCTTTCAGTACAGTCCAGGGTCCTGTTTCTGCACATAACCTTTGCCTCACCAAGGTTACTGTTTCCTGCTCCTGGCACCTGGAGCCACCCACCCTCGGGTTAATGATCTGCCCCAGAGTGGTCTCACAGGGGCTCTACCACATGCCGAGGCTGTAAATGAAGTATACCTGCCCTTCCGATAATGAAAAGACTGACCGGTAACCGTGTGGGAAGCTGAGGCAGGACAGCAAATTCGAGCCATGGGCAACTTTGTGGCTTGAGAAACCCTGCCTCAAAAACTAAACCAACTGGGAACGTAGGTCGATGCAAAGGCCTTGGGTTCAAGCCCCAGTAAGGGGGGAGGGGCGCAGCACACTCGGTCTGTAAATTTTGGTGAATCATAATTTATTCCCATACAATCCCGTTTCCTTTTCCCAGCCTTCTCTGGGTTTCTCTCTTTCCTTTGCTTACCACCACCTGGCCATTATCCTTACCCATCCCACACCTGACCCTGTTAATTTGTGCCTATCCTTACCTATCCCACATTGACACCTACAAGTGTTCACAATGGATAGCCCCTTGGTCCCTGCCGCCTTATTTCAAGTGAATGTTCACCAGTGGGAAATGTGCTCGCCACAGTGACTTCTGGCCAGTGCTCCGTGTACTTGTACGTCTGTGGCTGATGAGAGCAGCCCTCCTCCAGTCCGCTGAGCCAGAGGAAGCAGAGGCCAAATTCTGCACGCTTGGATTTCTTAAAACCAGCCAAGGCTTTGTGCGCTCTGCTCTGCGCACCGCCTCACACCTGGGGCGCCGCGCTGAGGGAGCTCTCCCAGTCTCTGCATCAGCGGGTTCCAGCTGCAAAATGTGCGCGGCAGCGGAGCGGGCTCGCGGCAGCCGCGTACGCAGTGACCGTCTCAGGTGGAGCCGAGGCTGGCGGACGCCGCAGGCCCCCGCCTCTGGCGCTCCCACCGCAGGAACTGCAAATGCAGTCGTCTTCTCTGGGTCTGAAAGTCAGAGGTCCCCAGGCCACAGCCCCCGGCGCCCGGGTTCCCCGAAGTCCGGGCACCGCCCACGTCTCCCCCGTGACGCGGGCGCGGGGGCTCGGGAGTTGTAGTCTCGGGCGGGGCGCGGGCGCTGGGACCCGGGCTGCGCGGAC